TCATTGTTGTTTCACTTTAAAGATAAACAAATCATTTCAGATAAGTGGACAATTTTGAATCCCAAGTCGTTTCTGCAGGAGATTTTCAGCTTTGCTTACATTTGTGCTGTTTGGAGTATCATAACAGGTACCGTGAATTGGCTCACCGAGTGGATGAGGCCCTTGGATTTATGAGTGCTGCTGGACTCACAGCTGACCATCCAATCATGACCACAACAGACTTTTGGACCTCTCATGAGTGCTTGCATCTCCCTTATGAGCAAGCACTTACTAGGGAGGATTCTACTAGTGGGCTTTACTATGACTGCTCCGCTCACATGCTATGGGTAGGAGAACGTACCCGTCAACTTGATGGTGCTCATGTTGAATTCTTGAGAGGAGTTTCTAATCCAATTGGAATAAAGGTGCATTTATTGTCTTCCTTTTTCTATGCATAGGAACTTTTGATTATTGTTGTTCCAGGTATATCTTCATGCAGTATTGCATTTCTGCTTTGCATCACATTATCTGCTCATCGCTATTACTTCAAGTTATATTGAGTGAATTATTTCGTAATTATCTGTTATAGTTTCTTTATGCATTTAATCTTTGCTTCTATTTGAAGGGTCTTTCTTCGTTTGTTCAAAATTGATTACACTAGCAGAAAAGAAGAAAACAGCTACTAAAGGCTTACTTGACTTTCAGGTGAGCGACAAAATGGATCCAGATCAACTTGTTAGGCTGATAGATATATTAAACCCAAGAAACAAGCCAGGAAGAATTACTGTAATAGTTAGAATGGGAGCTGAAAATATGAGAGTAAAGCTTTCTCATCTAATCAGGGCAGTTCGCAGAGCAGGTCAAATTGTCACTTGGGTCAGTGATCCCATGCATGGAAACACCATCAAAGCTCCGTCTGGACTGAAAACTCGCTCTTTCGATGCAATAAGGGTAATCTTGGTTCCAATTCCACTATTATGCATCCTCGCATGATTGAAGTTTATTCAACACACGCACACTAACTAGTTTAAAATCCACGCATGCAACCTTGAACTGGCTTTTTATCTTAATTAATAGTTGGGTCTTCGTTTTTGTCCATTACATGCTCAAGGCCCCTATGACTAATGTAACTTTTCTCAGGGCAAGCATATAGCTCTCGAAAACATAAAACACAACTGTTTTGCCAGCTTCTTCGCCAAGTAAAGATGTTATTGTGTTTTCTTTTGTCGTGGCTTATCTAATCTGGTCCACCTTGTTTGATCCGAGAACTGCCTTGCAGTTTAGCAAATAGATATTTTAAGTTGTGCATTGTTTTAACAATTTCCAGTTGATTAAAGCTCTAATATCTGCACAATACTTGGTCCTGCTGCTTTCTTTTTGATGTAAAATACTGTTTCTCCCTGTCATTTGATCGCTAATGCAGTTGAAGTTTCGTTGCATCTAATATTAGAGTTTTGATCTTGTTGATAGGCTGAGGTGAGAGCATTCTTTGATGTACATGAACAAGAAGGAAGCTACCCAGGAGGAGTTCATTTAGAAATGACAGGGCAGAATGTGACCGAATGTGTGGGAGGCTCGCGAACTATTACTTATGACGACTTGAGCTCACGTTATCACACTCACTGTGATCCACGATTGAATGCTTCCCAGTCTCTGGAACTCGCATTTATCATTGCAGAGCGGCTACGCAAGAGAAGGCTGAACTCATATCAAACCCTGCTCTCACTCTAAGTGTCTAGATGAGGAAGGAGTCTCTGCTTTGTTCTTAGATCAAACTACAGGTATTGGTGTATGAATGTTAGCTGCCAAAATGAGTTCCATAAGGTCTGTAAGTAGTTGGAAATTAAAATATCTGGATTGAGCTATCTATGTGAGGATTACATGGAACCTAAGCCTGTTCAAACAGTGAGTGTGTGCAGAATTTTGTACTAAGTTGTGTTAGTATTATATGTATCTTGAGGTTGTATACACCAACCTAATGGGTTTGGTGCGTTTTGACTTTATGTTTCTGTTTCAATCCTGCTTTCCTTGTAATTTAAATAATAAGTATTATATATATCTTCTTTGTGGGATCTGGTGTGAGAAATGTTTGAGTGACATCTTATGTGTGAGCAGGTTGATATTTATAATGGCATGTTCAATGAAGAAATTCTGTGCTAGTAGGTTCAAGTTAACAATATTCATAATGTATTGTAATGATATTCTCTTTCTGTTAATTATGTTAATTCCCAATGTAGATGGAGTTGTATATTCTGCTTCTCATTTTCTTTCCATTTCAGTCAATCGCCTTGTTTTTTTTTTTTTTTATAAATATATTTTGTTATAAGTGACAATATAATGTAGTTATATTCTCTGTCTGCTATTATGTTATACCTAATATATAAGTTATATATCTTTATTATATTCTGATTCTTTTGTTTGATTTCATTATCTATCCCATTCCATTCTTATCCCTCTCTCCTATCAAATGTGTCCTTTTGATTCTTCCTATTTTAAGTAGTGAAGTAAGGCTAGTTTTCTCCTCCAATTTCAAACATTTTACCAAGTGTGTGTTTGGTTCCATGTCTAAAACTATCAGACTCGTAATTTATCTGCCTCTATCAAAACCATGGTTTTGGTTATTTTCAACGTAAAATCAAATACACTGAGTTAAATCATGTAAGGATGGTTGAAAACAAACATGACATAGGTATTGTATAAGTTGAACATATAAAGGATAGTTTTATAACAGGTAATGTAGATTTAGTTCATAATTTATAAAATTATGGGTTTAAAATTTATTGTTGATGTGAGAACTTTGTTATGGATGATCTATAAGTATTCTTGTAAATATTTTTTAAGTTTGAAAGTATACTTTGGTCTTGATGAACTTTAAGATCCAATTAATCTAAACTTTTTTTATAACTAAAAAAGTTGAACATATAAGCAATTATTGGTAAAAAACTCATTAAGTTTCTACAGGATGTAGATTCAGATCTTAATACTTATGTAAAGATTTTGCATAACATTAAAAACCAAGTCAACCTAGTCATTTAAACTAATATTTTGACTGATTAAATAAAAATATTTTATTCATAACGAATGTGGACCACAATTCAGCTTATAATTTTAATCATACCAGTATATTTTTCAATAGTTCAAAATTTTGTCGAGTGAGTAAATATCAGTAAGTTCTTTTTTTTTTGGGAGTTATATTAACCTATTCGGACCTTAGTATTTAATTCACCCAAACTCCCTTTTTATAAAATGTGGAATTCATTTCATTAGTTTTAGAGAGAGAGAGGAAAGTGAATTTGGTGAAGAGAGAGCGTATGAAGTAGTTGAAAGCTTATCTTGAGGTATGAGCATGATTTGATTGCAGAGAGAAAGACAAAGCAAGAATGGCTTGCATTGGTCTGCCACTCTCCGAGCACGTTCCTTTATTCCCTCTTATTGCTCTTCCTACCTCTTAACTCTTTCACTCTTTGCACTTGCTCTTTCTTTTCATTTCTTTTTTCATTTTTTTTCCCGCTTCTCTATTGTGTGGAATTCTCTAGATTTCACTGTGAATGTGTGGATTATTTTTTTTAACAGCACTAATAATAATTATTCTATTTTAACTGTGACAATAAGTTACACTAAATTTTATTTTTTTATGCAGAAAAGTTAACTCTACTTTTGGGACACGTATAACCTGATACTGAGATCGTGGGATAATTCATTTGATTTGATTTATCATGTTTTAAACAATATTTACTGTCCAATTTTAAAAACTACATGTTATTTACGCACAGTTTAAAATTTAAAACTATATAATTTGACTTTTTTTTTAACTTACTATTTGGTGTGAATTCTGAAACAAGCTGCCGCAAAAATTTAAATTAATTTTTTGCAGAGAGAAAGACAAAGCAAGAATGGCTGCATTGGTCTGCCACTCTCCGAGCACGTTTCCTTTATTCCCTCTTATTCTCTTCCTACCTCTTAACTCTTTCACTCATTGCTCTTTCTTTTTCATTTCTTTTTCATTTTTTTTCCCGCTTCTCTATTGTGTGGAATTCTCTAGATTTTACTGTGAATGTGTGGATTATTTTTTTAACAGCACTAATAATTAATTATTCTATTTTAACTGTGACAATAAGTTACACTAAATTTATTTTTTTATGCAGAAAGTTACTCTACTTTTGGGACACGTATATACCTGATACTGAGATCGTGGGATAATTCATTTGATTTGATTTATCATGTTTTAACAATATTTACTGTCCAATTTTTAAAACTACATGTTATTTACGCACAGTTTAAAATTTAAAACTATATAATTTGACTTTTTTTTAACTTACTAATTTGTGTGAATTCTGAAACAAGCTGCCGCAAAAATTTAAATTAATTTTTTTTAAAAAAAATATTTTATTAATAATGACTTTAAATTTACTGTAAGATATTTAATAGAAGTAAATATAAAAAAATAAATTAATTTAAAAACAAACAACTACTTTATTAAGAAATAAAATTTAATTAAAAATATTTTTATATTTTAAATAAAAAGAATATAATTTTTATTTGATAAAAGTCTAAAACTATATTAGGCTTGAAACCAATTTATTTAACGACCAAATATATTTGTCTACCACAATCAAAAAATGACTCAATGATTAACTATTGATTAAATGTTTAAATTAATAATATGCTAACTAAGGGAATCAAATAAAACATTACCCTCCCTCAATCTCATTTATAAAACATATTTTAAAAAATTTATTTAAATCTTTTTTATAAGTTTAATGTAATTTTTCAAATAATATTTAAAATTATTCTTTTCAAAGAGAAAATAAATAATATAATATTATTTTTAAAATTGTTATATAAAAATGTATTTAAAATTTTATATACTTTTATTTTTTTATATTTTCTTCATTGATAAAAATAATTTATAAAAAAACCGATGTTTAAATTGATCCAAACTCTTCAAAAGCAAAATTATTATAAAAATAATAAAGCACCAGGTTTTTTTTTTCCCCCAATTAGGCTTATGCTTGTAAGAATCACAAAAAGTATTTTTCATATTATAGTCCTGCCATTATGCATAATACCCTTTCTTATTCCCCGTCCCCTGTAATTTTATCATTGCCCCATATCTCACAAAACGACAAAAGCACCTTAAAAGCATGTAAAGTGCAGATTTTCCCCTGCTCCCGTTCCTACGATCCATATCTACAACCGTACACCACGTCTGAAAAGGTCCTTTCATAGTTTAATCCGCCCTCTTATACCGTCCGTGATCATCCCCTCACACGAGCGTCTTACACGTCGATGTACGGGGGTCCCACATTGCCGGCAGAAGGTACTTCCGCCGTTCGCGCCGTTTGCATTGTAGCTAGCTCCGGTGGCCTTGTTCTTGAGAACCCGACCCGGATAACCCGGATACGACCCGCTCCCGAACACCCCGGTGCAGGCCGAGACGGCTTCGAGCGGAGCTGTCGCCGGACCCTGGAAGTACCCATTGTTAAAGGGTTCGTAACTGTACCGGCCAGCAGAGTCGCCAGGTTAATGATCATTCCGTCGACTCCAACGTCACCATTCGGAGCCACCAAAGGCGGCGTTTGAGGGCCGTAAATAGGCTGGTGGAAGGCCAGGCGCATTGACCGGGACACTGAGTCTCAGAATTCCCAACCCAGATATAAGCAGTCCGAGGCTTCCCCTTGAGGGGTCGAGTCGACCCATGCGTCCCACAGCGGCTCATACAGAAGCCATCTACAGCAACATCCTTCGCCGTGAGAATAACGTTAATGGAGTCAAGATCGTTGAACTTAGAGGCCAGAGCAACCAAGTGGCTCGCACGAAGCGACTTCCCGAAGGAGTATTTCTCGTACAGAACTTGCTTCCCAACGAAAGCGAGGAGGAGCCACCCTTGTAGTTCTCGGTGGTCTTCCACCATGACGCGGCGGAGGGAAGAGGAGCCCGTTGGAAGCCCAGGGAGTTGACGAAATCGACGATTATGGACCGCTGAACCGGAGTGAAAGAACCGTACCAGACAAGATTAACGGTGATCTTGCCCTTGAGGAGTTCACCGTTATGGTACTTGAGGACCAGAGGTTGCTGCTGAACCAGAGCCCCGAGGGCAGGCTCGAGGAGAAGAAGAGGAGGAGCAACAGAGAAGAAGGAAGAAAAGTGGCAAAGCGGTAATTAAAGGCCATGACGAGGGTCAAAGGCTAGAGACGATGATGATGATGGTGTATCTCCAAGACGACACGAGGGAATTGGATGAGAAGAAGGGGGAGAGCGGGACTGAGTACTTATATAGGGAGGACAGCTGGAGGAGCAGAGGTGTCAAAATCAGATCAGGCCACGTGGAGGGGGGTGGCTGGTTGGGAGATACGTGAGGGGCGCCAGGCTGGGAGGGGGCGGAATTGAATGACGTGGCAGTTACGGTGACGGCGACGTCGGATGGCGCCTATAGAATAGGAATTAATAGAAGGAAGAAGGCAGGAACTAGGAAGTCGGGGTGAGATTACTGATTTGACCTTGGGCAGATTTTTTCAGGGGTTAAAATTTAATTTTACCTTTATATTTATTTTTTTAAAATATTGGACGTTTTATGCTCTTAAATAGATAATTTTATCTTTAAATAATTTTTTAAATGAGCAAAAATTCTCTTTTATTAAATTAATCATTAATTTTTTCATTCTTTTCTGATGTGGCATGTATATGGGGTTCATGCACAGTGATATGAAACTCGTGACATGTCTTTCAGTGTTAATTTGCTCTTAAAATCTTTTTTAGGAGCATTAAATACTCTAAAATTTTTTTTTCAAAGCGTTAGGCACCCTGAAATCTTATTAAAATAAAATTAAATAAATATTTTTAAAATATTAAGTATTTTAATATTTAATAAGTTAAATATTATTATATAAAACATTACACACCAAATTTAGTATTTTCTATATTTAAATATTATTTTACTAGCATTTTATAAATTATAAATGATTTTTTTTATTTTTCATATATCAATCTTCGATCTTCTCTCTTATGCAGTACCCAAATCATTACACCTTTTGTGTGTGTTAGAACTTAGTTATATTTTTAATATTAGTTACATTTCTTAATTTTTTTGGTCAACTAATAATCTTCCTCTAAAATATTGTATCACCCAATTTAATACTTTCTATACATTACAATGTTAATAGTAAAATCATAAATATGACAAATTTGGATTAACAATATGACAACAATAATATTTATTTAAAAGAGATCGCTTATTTCATTAATATGCTACAAAAAAGTTACTTAACAAAAAAATGGAGAGATGAAAAAAAAAATTTCATTAACTTGGATGTTCATTTGCTTTATTTTTAATACAACATTACAAAATATTAAAAACATTAAAATATTAATTGGGTGGTATAATGTTTAAATAATAATATTAAGTTATTAAATATTGAAATACTTAATATTTTAATACATTTTCCTTTGAGATCACAAGCTTGTATTGATATGCCTCTACCTTTAGCTCCATAATCCAAGTATCTAGCTTTTGGGTTGAGATCCCAAGCACCATAACAAATTAATGTTTTATTTATATGATTGCACATATACATTTTATTTTTTATTTAATTTTTATGTCACCGGTTTGACCACCGGTCTAACTGGTTAGACCGTGAAAACTGTAAACCGTTGCTCTTTTCGATTCGATGTCCGATTCGGGTTTAAAACATTAGTTACATGTCACTGTACGTGGCTCTACACACGTGCCATGTTAGTAAAAAAATAAAAAAGTTAACTATTGATTAATGAAAGGGAGTTTTTGGTCCTATAAAAAATATTTTAAAAATAAAATTATTTTTATTTAAAAATATAAAATGTCTCGCATTCTTAAAAAATAAATTAAAGATAAAATTAAATTGTAACATTTTTCTTCAACCCCAAGAATGCCGCTACCCGAGATCAGTGGTGCGCGGGGAGCACGGGAAAAGAGGGGATCGGCAAGGTGTGAATTGTTCTAGAAGCATTCCTTCAACAAATTTTTTTATAAGTAAACTAATACTAGAAATTATCTTTTTCAAAACACTTCCTGCAACATTTATAATATTTCTTCAAACCAAAATAAAAACATTAATAATTAATTCATAATTTTTTAAAAAATATTAGTTAAAAATTTTATTTTTTTAAAAAATTTATATTTTTTAATTTTATCTTCATTAAATATTTATATAAGTATTTTGATAATGATAATTAAAATTTTAATTCACCATTTCTTAAAAAAAGAGGAAAATAAATGAAGTAAGAATACAGTAAAAAATAATTATAAAATTTATTTAATACTTTATATTTTAAAAGAATAATTTTTTTAAAAAATATTTTATATTATAATTCGTAGAGAGCAAATTGCAGATGAAAAATAGGAACTTGGGAAGGAGGAGAAGGAAAAGATGGTCAAGCATAGAAAATTGGGTAGGGCAGGCGATGAAGGAGCGTGATTTAGAAGGAGCTTATGGGCGTGGTTTGAGGCTCTCAATAGGTGGGGTCTCCAATAGAAGTGGAGGATTTAATGCCACGATAGCACAAAACACTTCTTGAAAATTCAGATTCTACCTAATGGAAACGATATATGGTAGGCTTGTTGGTTGTCAAGAAAATAGGGGTCAACCATTTTTATTGAAAATTAGAATTATAAAATTTTTTAAAAAGCAATGTTTTTAAAATCAAATCAAATGTTGAATTGAAAAGATCAGCAATTCACAATTTATATAATTCAATCAAATTAGATTAATAGTTAAATTAGTAATGTAATAATTAAATTAAAAAAAATTATATATGCAGTAATATAAAATTATATTTAACTAAAAAAAATTTAAAATTTTAAGTTTATTATGACTTAACATGCTACACAATACATATAAATCAAATTATTAAAAAAATTAATCATTTTCTTAAAAAATTCAATAAAAAATAAAAAAGTTTTTTTTTGAAGAATCTGATTCTTAAAGTTGAATTCAATTCTTGGCTTAATTTTGATTCCTGATCTGACCATTAGTTCAAAATGATCCAACTCGACTCAATCTTTTAAAATAGTTTTTAATATTACCAAATCAAAATTCAGACTGATCCAATTGTTCAGTCCAGTCTTGTTTGATTTTAAAATCACTAGTTAAAAGTGCGATGATTTTAACACGTTTGGCATCAAGTTTTTTCACATGAAATATAAAATTAAATAATGATTTTTAATTTGACTTTTATTTTCTTTAATTTATTCTATTCTCTTTCGACTGCGTGAAGGAGATGGAGAAGGATCATCAAAAGTTTAGTGAAGTGTTTGGGGGCGGTGGTGGTCACGGGGACGGTGCCAGCTGACAGAGAAGACAGAGAGCGAACGTGTGAAATTGGGGGAAGAGAGTTGGCTTCTCTCCATTTCCTCTTCACTTTCATCTCAATATTAAATTTATTTTTAATAATTAAAATTTAATATTTTATAAAATTATTATTATATTTATTTTTCATAAAATCTCACATTTTAATAATAATTTTATAAAATATCAAATCTAAATCATAAAAAATAGATTCAATGATTGAGATAAAAATGAAAAAAAAATAAAAAAGAAAAAAAATGAAGAGAAGTCGGGTTCGAAAAAAGGACTCTTTTTTCTTTCTCTCTCTTTTTCTCTCCATTTCCTTCATCTTCACCCTTCATTAATTTTATTTTATAAAAAAATTATTAATAAAATAATATAAAAGGGAGAAGTGAAGAGAAAAAAAAAGAAAAGAAGATCCCTCGCCCGTGAAACTGAGGAACCTAAAATGTCACCAAAGGGATTGCACCGCACTGGTCACTGGAGGGACCCCTTCACCCCTCTTCTCTGGTTTAAATGCATCTTCCTCAATACATATCCTATGTTAAAAAGTGAAACTACCGATCAAAGTTTATTTAATGAGTGTCGATGTTTTTGTGAGTTAAGTAATTGATTAGATATTCAAATTTCAAACTCTTATATATCGAACACTTTAATTTGAAGAGATTTATTCATTTTTTTAATATTCAAGAGAAATATCTTCTGCTATCAAGTAAACTATTTATAAATAAAAAAAATATAATCTTTGATGTTATAATTTTTTTAATATTTTTAGTCCTATAAAGACTAAAATTACTGATAAAATAAAAATTATAAGGATCTAAAAATAAAAATCACCTTATTTTTTTGAATTAAAGGATTGAAAACGTTTAAAAAATATAGAGATTAAAAATAAAATCCAATAAAATTATAAGAATAAAAAATTATTTTTTTCTATAACAAAAAAAAAGGTAAAAAAAAAAACTACGAAGATGACATTGGGTGGATGGACGGAAGGATTCAATGATGCCTTACGTGAATTGGTTAGAGGGAAGGGGAAGAAGGGAGGCTGATAATAAATTCATAATTTTATCCTTATCAGTTTTAAATTGAATTTTACTTTCTACTTAATATATTATTAGAAAAGATAGTATAGAATAATTTATTAATACACTCCCTTCATATTAAATTATAAAATATTTTTAGATAAAATCTTATATATCAATAAACTTTATTAAATACACTTAACAATCTTATCTTTTTAAAATAAAAATATAAACTTTTAAAAATATCCATCATTAATATATTGAAAAAGAGAAGAGACCAACATTAATTATAGAGAGAGGAAGAATAATATTGAAATTGACACATTAATAAAATCTTAATTTACTCAAAGTGTTTTATATTTTGAGATAAAAAAACTTAAAAGTATCCTATAATTTGGAACGGAGGAAGTATTATTTTATCGATGTGAATATTTTTAAGTTACATTGATAATACTTTTTTAAAAAAATAATCAATATATTAATATTATATTATATCAACATGTCATTGAAATTTTATCCATTAAAATTATTATTAAATTTTTTGGGTGATGAAATTTATTTAGGGGCTTTTGAAGATATAACCCATATTATAAGATCAAATCAAGAAAATAGCGCAATATTTATTATATTTTGCATTATGATCAATTTATTATATTTATCAATGATATATTATTATATATCAATAATAAGCCCTTTATAAATTTTAAAATTTTCAGTAATATTTTTTATATATTAATGTGAATTGATTATACTCTTAAATTTTTAAAAATTTGAACCATATTTTTTAAGCACTAGATTTTTTTCAATTAGTGAACTAATTTATCCATTTATTATTTATTT